CTTTTGAAATAATTTAAACAGTCAAGAATTTTTTTAAAAAATAGTTTCCTACTGCTCTCTTCACTTATTTCTCCAATCCAGAGGCAATAATTTTAGCTGGTTATTTCATCTTTTTTGTCTATGTTCCTTAATATACATTTTTATGACTATTTTTTCATGTTTTAGTTTTAGGATTATCTGCTGACTTCACACCATAGAGCATAAGATTTAGTTCTATTCACCTGGTCCCACCACCCACACTTTTAATCACTCCGTCCTTCCAAATATCAGGGAAAAAGTGGAAATCAGGAAAGACAAAAGACATTATGTAGTAAGATATCAACTTTTCCCCTCAGAGTGGGGTCACATAAGCCATATTCATCTTCTGTTACACACAGATGCCATCTTAAGGACATAAGCAAGGGCTGGGGCTATCTTAGTCAGCTCAGGCTGCTGTAACAGAATACCATAGACTGGGTGGCTTAAACAACAGACATTTATTTCTCAGTTCTGAAGACTGGGAAGTCTGAGATCAGGGGGCCAGCATGGTTGGGTTCTGATAAGGGCCCTCTTCCTGGATGTCTTCTTGCTGTATCCTCATGTGGCAGGGAAAGAGAGAGGAAGAGCAAGCTCTTTGCAATCTCATTATAAGAGCACTAATCTAATCATGAGGGTTTCACCCTAATGACCGACTTCCCTCCCAAAGTGCCCATCTCCGAATATCATCACATTTGGAATTAGGGTTTCAACATACGAATTTTGGGAGGACAAAATCATTCAGTCTGTAGCAAAGACCAAGCATTTTTATTCAAAAGAGGCTGAGTACTAATTAAAGAAACTGCTTAAAGCATTGGATCTAACTAAGGTTTTAAAAAAAAACAAACTGGTTACCTAAACTGGTTGAAAATTTTTCCTTGAACCAATAAACAAAAGTTGAAAAATTTTTCCTTGAACTAATGAAGACAACCAAAACAGCCATAGATACAGAGCTACATATTCTCTGCACATTCTAGTTACAATGTAAGTTTACTCAAGGAATTAAAATGTTAGAAGAAATATATAAATTAATAATCAGCTATATATGTATGTTCATTATATACTGAATACATATACATTTTCACACACTCACATCTACCTATAAAAATTCTGCCATAACATTAAAGAGAAAATGAAGTCAATGGAAGCTACATCCAAAAAGTCTAAGATGTTTGAAAATCATTTCTCTAATTGACTTAAACTTACTAACCTTATTGAGGTATTGGGAGGAAAAAAACAAAAAAACTGAGGATTTAGTCTAAATGACTTCTAGTTTGCTCATTTGACTTCATTTTCTGTTGAAAGGCAAACAAGATGTTTCTAATGTGATCATGAAAAGAGAATAAATATTTATGCTTCTACAAAGGTAAACAAGGTAAGGAAATAAATGAGTCTATAAGGAATTATCTATTATATCTCAGACTGTCATCAATCGTGGGAAATGTCTTGCCACTTCTTCCACCTCCAAGCTATGCACACCCTGGTCAAAGAGGTCAGCTTATATTTCATTGAATAGAGATGTTTTTATGTTTTGGCTAATTCAAAATTTCTCTTTATTTCTTCAGTGACCTAGTTAGTATATTTTTTTCCATGGAAAAATA